TACATGATTTCGTATGATAGAAATGCAAAAATCATAGCTATACTGAAGCACCTACAGATTCCTCCAGTTCTCCTTTAAGCTCTAAGCTGTATCATTTCAATGTCTTCAAGCCATAGTTGGTGTTTTTTGCTTGTCTTTTATACACTGCACGTTTATTATTTACTTCATAAAAATGGTCTACTTAAAAACAAATCACTTGATTGGTTAATTGATTCCCATCTCCTCCTAGGCCAGAAGTATCGCGTTTTTAGTGGTTCAATTGATGCAAACGAATGGTTATATGCGTATATTTTTATCACATGAATATCCTAGATTTTCTAATGCATTGAGGTCTGGGAGGCATGCTGGCCAGACCTTAATGACTTGCATTATCTCGTTGAAATGTAAAGGGGATATGCTGGTTTTGCTGAAGAAATGACAGGAGATGATTGACAGGGGTCGATTAATAATCTTTATTGTTGATGAAATAAAAGTTAAAGGCAATTTTCCAGCAGCGCTAAATTCCTCCAAACCATCACATTACCTCCATAAAGTTACTCTTAGAAAAACACGAGATTAATTTCTTAAATTACTCCAATACCCATTCCATTTGTTTATGCATTAACATAACATAATATGAATGTTAATATTATAAAGCATTAATATTAACATAGTATTAAATCTAATAATAATAATCTGGCGTTGTTTCCAAGTCAACTGAATCTATCCATTCCCGTCCATCTACCATTTTTCTTTTTAAACAGCTTACTCCGCCTTCTTCCATACATTCTCCATCTGCTATATACGGTAATTTATCTTATGAATTCTCTTCGATCATTTACTTCTATCACTTTCAATTCGAATATTCTTTTTAATAGCCTCTCCTCCGTCATCTTCATCACGAGCTCATGCCATTTAATCTTCTCATTTGTAATCCTCTTTTACTTCTATTCCCTTCTTACTTCACTCTTTATTCGATCCCATAATGTTTTATCTATTGTACTCCACAAGAATTTCATCTGGCTTTTCAGAATTTTAGAGTTGTTCTTTCTTCTTAAAGTTGACTTCTCCGATCCATAAGACATTAGTGAGACACAATATGAACTAAATAATGCTCTCTTAACCTTTCTTAGCACTTCCTTACTTCATATTCGATGATATAAAAGGCCTCTGTGCGTTATCTCGTCTCTCACTCGTTCATTCACTGTTACTACACTCCCCAGATACCTTAAGAAATCAATCGTTTTAAATTCCTTGCTTTCCATGACAACTGTTCCGTCTTTTCAATCTCTTCTTGTCATTACAAGCGGCTCACTCTTCTTTACGCTGAGTTATAGTAATCTGAGGAAGCAGTGAAGAGGAAGTACACGAACAAGTGAACGAGTGAAGTAAGCAAGTAATGTTACTTTCTTACGTCCTCTTCATTCGAAACATTCCATGATTTTCTACAAATATGCTTGCATTGCGGTATCATCTTACCCAATTTTTCTACTAATATCTTCTTCAAATATTCTGTTCATCTCTAGTCTCAGCATAATTTCTCGTTTCTCTTCATTCTTAATCCCAAACCGTTCTGATTCCAATCGGAGTTCTTACACAATTTTTATTCCTTATACTTCATTCTCTCTACCAGACTTTTCTTCACTTTTTTCTTCTTCACCGTCATCACATTTTTCTGTTTACTCTGTGAAATGTCACCTCTACTTGCAAGAATCTTCCTGCCAAATTTGTATTTGCAAACAAATCAGCTGTTGGCCTTCTTGTTTGAAGCCATTTTGCTCCTCTTTCAATTCTTCCTCGATCATTCACTCCAGCACTTTCTCGTATATCTAAAAAGACTTGATCTTCTAATATAATACTCAAACACACTACTCCACTCCACTAATAATAATAATAATAATAATGTATTTTTCCGACTGTACACTCATTCATTTATTCAGATTTTTATTAGTAATGAAGGAATACACAACATAAAACTGCATAAATTAAAAAAAACCCTTTGTTTAATATGTCAATTAATACTTAAATATGAAGACAAACGATATAATTTTAAATCGCATACGAAAAATACGGATAAGTTCGGACCGAAACCAAACCTGGAACCTTATTATTGTACTCAATCATTAGAGAGGTTGCGGCCGAAGTTTTCATCTCTCAAACGTGAACGTCGAACGTCGAGCGCCGCAATCTTGTAAGCGGCGCTCGACGTTCGACGTTCACGTTTGAGAGATGAAAACTTCGGCCGCAACCTCTCTATTATCGATTTTTTTATATTGATCGCGTGGGATATAATCCGCGAAACGATCAATAAAAAAAAGGAATCAACTTATGGCTGACACACAATTAACTGTTATATTAAAAAAAGAAGAATTATAGTTCTATCAAAACACATTAAAATTAAATCGATCCCTTATTTTAAACGTTTATACAAACAAAGAATATAAAACATACAAAGAAAAATAAAACTTTTAATATCATATGTACAGTACAACTTTATATTCAATTAATATGGAATTTTGAAGAGAAAATAAATTATTTTTTTTACGAAAAGAAGTGTAAAAGTAATTTATTTTCTTTGTATTAATAGTAAAAAGACGAAATTAAAAGAAACTGTTACGCTTTCATTAATGTCAGATATCAACGCTTGTATTGACAGTGTGTTGGCTTCACAAATAATTAATAATTGCTGTCAATTAACTTGGTATAATGAAAGTAATACCAATAAAAGCTAGTTGATATTTTTATTTCTTTATAACATTTATTAAAATCAAGTTTTAACACTTAATTATTTATTTTTAAATCCTTGTTTTAAGATTCTTTTTTTATTTGTCTCTTAAATTTAATTCGAATGTAATTCAAAGGGTATAAAATTACTTTTCTTTACGATAGAGGAAGGTAATTTTATGCTTTTTGAATTACATTACCTTTCTCTGACGTAAAATTTTGTAATAAATAAGTATTATTATTACTGTATTCTTTACTTCGCACTTAGTGTCATTTCAGCATCATCGAAGAGTTTATAAATTAAAAAAATAATAATAATAATTATAAATCCTCTTAATAAATATTTTATTATATTTAAAATAGTTACTTAATGTAATGTATTATAAAGGGTGGACAAAAAGTCAGTTAACCAAAGTGTAGAAGCGATTAAAACTGGTTTAGAACGTTGTATGTTGTTGCTTTATTGGAAACGATACAATCACGAATTCTTAAAATGATAATAAAATTTATCTCGTTAACTAACTTATGGACCACCCTTTATTAAAATTTTAATATGTTTCATTAAAGGTTTTTTTTTAATTCAAGAATTTATTTTAATCAATAAATAAATGTAAAGAAGACCTGAGAGAAAAGGACCTGAATTAACCACGAATGTGGTCCTCACCCATTCCAAGAGCCTTAAAAATAAATTTAGAATACATTTTTAAAAAGAATAATACGAATTTTTAGGGCCCCTATACGTTAGGGCCTGCGCTAAATGTGTCCTGTTGATTCCTCTCTATCTGTACTGTACTGTACCTGCCAGTAGTTTACTAATAATTCATTTTATTATTATTAATTTAAAGATAAACAGTTTAAACGGTTTATAAATATAATTTATTTAAATAAAAAAATTTTATTTTATATAATTTTTTTTTAATATAACGTTAATAAAAACACATTAAATCTAAAAAAGAAATCATAAATCAAACAGCTTAGTGGTGCGTATAATAGTTGATATGCATGAACAAATTGTGATATAAACTTACCGTTCAATAATTTATTTCATGAAAACAATTTAAATAATGGAACAATCAACATTCTATCATCTTAAAATAGCAATTTTATAAGTACTTTTGTAGTTTTGTTTGATATTAAACGTAAAATAATTCAGTGTAATAGCACTATCAGGAATCTAAAACGTATGCATTTAGCTTACTTTATCATCTTCCAGAAAGAAATAATAATCATGCAAATGTGTTTGTTTAAATCGTCAAAATAATTCATAGATGATTACATAAATTGCTTCGATAATACTTAAATTATCATCCTGACAGATAGCGTTAAATAAATGGTTATGATCTCTTATACGTTCAAGATTACTTTACTACTAAAAAAAATGATAATAAATAAAATAAAAGCTGTAAACATTGTTCTGGACTTTCAGGGCATTCTTAATTTCTTTTTTTTTCGTCCCTAATGGTTGTTATCATTACCTTCAAGTCTTCAGATTGATTCGGAAGATATTAAGTAGATGGGAGGGCTATATCTCCCGAACCAATGATTCGATTTTCATGAAAATTTATAGAAAAATTCTCACCTAATACACTAACTTTTCATCAAAAATTCAGAAAATTTCGATAAAAGGTACAGAAGTTATTAAGCTTCGAATTGGGCGATTCCGATTTACGCAGGTTTTGCTGTATTTAATAACCGAGAAATTAATAACGTAATAATATTAAATATTACACTTTAAACTGAATTTAAGATATTATTTAAAAAAAAGTATATCAGTATTTGGTAGAATAATTTATCAAGCTTTAAAATAAATTGACACGGAAGTAGAATTTATATGTGAGAGATTCATTTATTTTTAATCTTTTATAAGAATATTCGAAGCAAATATGTGTATTGTCGAAGATGGTAAAAGAGATTTTAAGCGCGTCATTTTACGTTGGAAATCCCTTTATTGAGAAAATTCGATCGAAATGTCCTCACTGTTGCCATTTTAGTTGAATTCGTTTGGGTCATCTGGGAACCTGTGCACACTTTTAACAACATTTTCTACCTTATTCGATTATCTATAACACAATATAAACAAAAAGATAAAATAATTACACATTCACAAATCTCCTCTTCCTTTCATTTGCATCCTTTTCCAACGTTCTAATGAATCATCATCTAATTAAAATCATATTAGTTTTCTTAATAATTTGATCTAATTTTCTCTCTTTCGGCTTAGATTAATCTAAAAGTATCAACTTAATTAAATAATTATTCCCCTAATTAGTATCTTAAGTATGAAATTTTTCTTATAGTTTCTCTCACGTCCCTCGGCAACCGCAGATCTCGTCGTCGAATGATAAAAACGTTGACACCATGTAAGTAAAATAATACGTTTACGTAAAAAGGGTGGCCCAAAATTTGCTTTACCGTCTTTTGTTATTTCGGATAATCTTTTTGGACCACCCCGTATTTAAAATATTTATTTATTTATTTTATTATGTTTAATTATCATTTTTTTTCCTTCTTTTTCTTCTTTCGTATCAGTCCAACCCGAGAAGAAATCGTTTCTTGGGGAGAATCATTTGACAATCTCTTAAAAAGTCCAAGTAAGTTTTTGGTGACGTTTGAATATTTTAATTTAAAAAATAATAATAAATAATAATAATAATGATTAATTAACGTATTTTCTTAAATAGAAGGTCGAAAATTATTTCACGATTTTTTAAAATACGAATATAGCGAAGAAAATCTTTTATTTTGGGTGGCTTGCGAGGAATTAAAGAAAGAAACTGATCCAGACATCATCGAAGAAAAAGCAAGGATAATCTACGAAGATTTTATATCAATATTATCACCTAAAGAAGTAAGAAAATTATCGATTTTTTTTTATTCTTATAGTTTAAAATTTTGATTTTTTCTTTATTAATTATTTCATTTACAATTGTCTCTTTAAGTTATGACAATGAAATTTTCAAATTGTTCTTTGATTTTTCTTTACCATTAAATATGAATTAGCGTATAATAAGTAGATTTTAATTGTGATTTAATGAAGGTGTACAGGACTAGAAATATTTTTTTTAAAAAAAAACGTGGCCAAAAGTCAGTTAACTGAATCTCGTTTCATGCTCCAAACCGATTCTAACAGTTCTTAAAACTCTATGTAATGATTTACTGATTTTTGGGTTACCCTGTATATGTATAAATTTAATTTTATTATTTAATTAACAAATTTATATTGAAATCATAGCGTAGATACAACTAAATCTAAGCTAAATTATTAAAAATTAGTTGTTTAGTTTATAAGCTCTTCAATTGCTAAATTTACCACAGTCAAATATGTATAGGCCTACATATTTACATAAAAGGGCCTCTCGCAATGTAAAATTGCCACTATACAACATTTATGCTTAATTTGCAACTCTGTGGTGGATCCGGGTTCGAATTCGAATCAGGAACTTTAAAAGTTCTTTTGCTGATATATATGTTCAAGTATATGTTACATGGGTCTAAACTTCAATAGCCATCTCCCAACAAAAGTCATCTCTAAATAGCGGCCATTATTTCAGTAACTTTATTAAAACAAGATGCATACAAGCAAATTTTATGTTTCCATCAATGGTCGTCCTGCAGGGATTTGACTAGATATACTGTAATCCACTGTTTTATTAACACAGTAACATTTTTCAGTTTGAATTGGCAAATTCTTCCACAAACATCCAGTGTTGAGTGGTAAAAATCTTTCTTTTTTACTAGAATCTCTGATTTTTCTTCACCACATTAATACTTCTGCTATAAATTCAAGGACTGGCTCCTAAGTTCTGTATAGGTTCCAACAGTTGGCTTTAAAGTTTGTTTGCCTTTAAGGTAATAGACAATTTAAACTGCTAAGATACTTCTGGAGACTCGACAATCGACGTTGGTTCTGTTTGTTGCTTCTTATTTAATCTTGGAACATGAGAGTGATGTGTGATCCTCCATAAGAGGAGTTTTCTTCTCTTTCTCTTCCATCTTCAAATCTCTACTCAAATTTTACTATTTTATAGTTCCTTTACGGAATTTTATATAAGTAGTACAGCTTCATCAAGGTGTAAATCTTGCTGATGGTATGATATGCTAAAAGGATTCGGCAGAAAATTTGGAATTGGCCAGTTTTAATGTTATTTATTACTTCAGTTGCTACCGTTGTATCTCGTAACTGAGAATTTTTTATGCCTTCTTGAAATTCGATTATATTGACACTGGTGACTTTCAGGTTGAAAAGTATTTTTTCGATTTCGAGTGCTTCGCCTCTGGTAATGCTTCAGCTATAGCTTCTTGCAGAATAGCGTGTCGTATGGAGAATTGAGAAAGTTATATACCGATTCAATGCTTTTCAAGCAATTTTTCATAGCTGAAATGTAACTGGCTGAACTTTCAGCAAGATTAAGGTTAAATGGAAGCCATTATTAATCTTTTTTATCCTATCCAAACGATCCTATCCTCGGCTCGGATTAGTTTTACTCGCCATCCAGTTGATCCAAGATGCCGTTTGTATACACGAATAGAGATTTGTATCACGATTTTTGAGTTTACTCTTATTTAAAAAATATATTTGTTTCTATATGAATATATAATATTTCCCATAAACATCTTTGATGAAATCATACAATTTCTATACTAATTTTGCCTTCGTATATAATGCAATTGTCATAAAATGGATTTGTAGAATTAAAATCTTATATGATTTATTAATTAATTAAATTTTTAATTTATAATAACTTTTTAAAATAATATTCTTTATTATAATAAAAAATGATTGAATTTGTTAAAATTTTATGAGGTTTTCAGAGGCGGATTAAAGGAAATATTCAGGTTTCATTTAATAGATTTGTACGTTTAGTGGAATTAATTCAATACGTTGAATGTGTCATTGTAACTTCATTCATTATGAACTGAATGTCGAAAAGTATTAGGAATGATAAGAAATATTGAAAAACTCATAAATATTTTCGTCAGATTCGAACACAGTTCTATAAGTTGACAGGAGAGATTAAAGGGTAAATAAAACGCTTTAACTTAACTAATAATAATTAGTAAGATAGATAGGACAAGATATACTAAATAAATAAGGCCTTCACTCTATGAGAGGGATCGCTCAATCTTTGAAAAAATTAATATGTATTTTATCATCTCAATTATATATATATATGTTACAGTGAAAGACCGAAATTAGTGAATGTCGACACATACAAAATATGTTGGTGAAAGACCGAATATTTGGTTATATTATTAAACATTCGAACAATCGCCGGTGTATGTCGACAAGCACGGATAAGCTTTGGTGGAAGTCGAAACGACACCCGAGAAGCCGGTGTCAACAGAAAGGCGACAGCCTGTCGCCAAATTCTTTGTTCTGTCGCAATTGAAATGACGTGGTATCTATTTGTTATACTCTGGAACACTGCTGTTTGTCAGTCTTATGCAAGGTTTTCTGCTGTGTGCAATGTTTTCTTGAATTTTATTTTTTTATCCAATACCCTAGTTTATATTGAATGGATACTGCAGTGAACCAAGAACTTTTTTTGAAACGTTACGTGCATTAATTGCAAGTAAACGAGAAGACAATTGTTTTTATTTTTCTCAAGAAAAGTACTCTAAAATACTTTCTGAAGTGATTTCTGCTAAAACTAAGTGCAGCACACCTTTGGATTACAGACGATTAAAACGTTTTGACGTTTTAAAAATTAATGATGAAGAGAAATTAATTGTACCATTCTAACCAGGAGAAACGAATATACAGTATTATGTTACCAATGATAAATTGTTCAGTATACTATCTGAAACTCGCAGCAGAGCAGGCCATGGAGGAAGAACACGTACGCTTAAAGAATTGCAACTTAAATACAAAAATATTACACATGAAGTTGTAATGTTGTATTTAAATTTATGCAAACAATGTCAAATGAAACATAGTGCACCTCAAAACGGTATTGTTGTGAAACCAATGGTCAGTTTGGAGTTAAACTCAAAATGTCAAGTCGATCTTATAGACCTGAAGTCACACAAGTATGGCGAATATAAGTTCATAATGGTGTATCAAGATCATTTAACGAAATTTGTCCAGCTATTACCTTTGAAAACTAAGACAGCTGAAGAAGTAGCAAATCACTTTCTTCAAATATTTTTAACATTTGGTGCCCCAGCTATATTGCATTCAGATAATGGTAGGGAATTCTGTAATCGAGTCATATCCAAACTATGCACTATGTGGAAAGATGTTAAGATAGTTCATGGAAATCCTCGTCATAGTCAAACACAAGACTCAGTTGAAAGGGTCAATCAGGATATACAAAATATGTTAACTGCATGGATGAACGATAACAATACAAATAAATGGTCAGATGGTTTGCCCTTTGTACAATTTGCCAAGAATACTACATATCACGAAGGAATATGCCAAAGTCCGTATGAAGCCATGTTTGGCGTTAAACCAAAAAGAGGCATAGCATCGTCATCTTTGCCTGGCGAATAAATTGCAAATATTGAAAACGAAGAACAGCTCGAAGAAATTGTTAATACTTTTGAAGGAAATTTGAGCAGTGGCCATAACGAATACTATATTCCAAAGGAAAATACTGAAGAGGAACTGCAACCCACCACGTCTTTTTGTCAAGCCCTGACTGAACAACACGAATTTATTACTATAAAAAGAGCGGCCGCGAAAGAGAATCTTCTACTACAAGCAACGACAATGTTACAAAGGACAAAAAGAAAATTTCCTCCTGCTCAAATTGGTGATACCGAACGAATACAAGTCCCTAATGTCGACCGTGTCCGTACAGATGCCCAAAATGTGTTGGCGGTTGTTGTTGGAATAGAAGATTCCGACTTTTATAAATTAGCAAACAAAAAAGGTACCCTCAAGCAGCTTTATACCCGTAATCAGTTCGTAATTTGTAAAGAAAAGTTATTTTCCATAGATGAGATTTCTTCTCAAGAAATATCGCCGAGAAAAGAGGCTGCAGATAATTTGAAAAGTGAAGGGCAAGACTATACACGCTGTCATTGCAAAAAGAAGTGTGTTCCACGAATAAATACAGTTGTAAAAGCAAGGGACTCTTGTGAAATTCAAAGTGTCATAACAGTTTAAGTTGTTGTAATAAATAAAAGATTGTATAATATTAATCACATAATTTATGTGTAAGTTTATTATTGTATTATTTTCTTTAATGATTTAGAATGTACTGTTTGTTTTAGGTTCAACAATTTATTTACATGCGCTGTTACTTAAGCTTTCTCTTATTTTGACATATTAAAATGTTGCATTTTTGTCTTAACGTAATAAAAATATTTTTATTCAACATTCACCATCAGTGCATGCTGAATGCCGACATTTGTCGGTGTGAGAAATAATGATATTTAGCAAATATTTCGTACATACACGAAAGAACTGTGTGAATGCTGACATTCACCGGAGAATCTCGACATTTGCCAGATATCTGTCTTTCACAGTAACATATATATACAAATAAGACTTGATTTCATGTAATATCTATTGAAATCTCTAACTATATTACACTTAATTACATTTAATATACAGTAAAATTTCGTCAATCCTGCACCTATGTGACCAGAATAATGTTGAATTACTAGATATACCGGCTTCTTGGGTGTCGAATTAATGTATACCTTTTAAAATTCATTAATAAAGTCCTATATCATAGCTTAGAATCATAAATACATACTTAATACATACAAAAGTTCAATCGTTTCCTCGAATCTCTAATAGTCCAATCCGCCTCTGATAGTAATATTAAATAACGTTTTATAACAATATTACGTTTGTTTTTTTTTTCTTTTTAGGTAAGTCTTGATTCACGAGTAAGAGAAAAAGTCAATAGGAATATGATCGAGCCATCTCTTACAACTTTTGATGAAGCACAGATGCAAATTTATACTTTGATGCACCGAGATTCTTATCCACGTTTCCTCAATAGTAAACTGTACAGAAGTTTAATCGAAACCAATTCTAATGAAGAAGACAGTGTTACATAGCATATTAAGAATTCTTAAATAAAATAAAGCACAGCTGTGATTCAAAACTAATTCCAAAAACAGGAAGCTCAACAAAGTATGAAGCTCAAATCAACAAGAAAATGAGGAAAATAGTAGTATTATATTCATCGGTCGTTTGCAATAAATTTCAAATCTGTAATAAACGCCAAGTGGTGAACAAAACTTGAAAGAAAAAACAAAATAAAAATGAAACTAACTTGTACAGGGTATTTACAACATTGAGATGCAGGAGACATATTTTAAAATTTGTTGTTGTTATGTTGTGGATGTTTTATCTAAATCAATGTTTACTTGATCAAGATTCATTCGTTGAGTAAAATTATTTAAGTGTTTCTTCCGTATTCTATAGACGGCGTGATCATTATTATTAATAATATTATTATTAATCATCCAGAAAAGAAACTGGTAAAAGAAGAAAATAAAAATTCAGGATTAAAACGCGTTATTTAATTTGTTTAAAATTATTAGTTTGATATAAATATTGTTGTTTAATATTCCAACCGTCCCCTAATTAAATTAAAGAGGGATTATAAGAATAAATTTTTTCAATGGAAGAAATTGTTGTTGTTGTGGTTGGAAAAGCCTTTGAAATGTTGAATTTGTGGTTATTTGGAAAAGAAAGGGATGTAAATAAAATTATATCAATATTTCGTTTTTTCTTTTAATTTAATAATCAGTATCTTTATTTACATTACGTATTTCAATATATTAAGAGCCGTAATTCCTCGAAAAAAAAAGTAGAAGTAAAACCTTTGTATAACCCGCACTTCAATGGCTTTTTAAATACAGATTATCTTCAGGTTATCTGTCGAAAATTATTGTAATTTATTAAAATATTCAGTTAAATAGTTAGAAATTCGCTTTATAAAAGATTCGATTCTGATAAATTGTTTTAAATAACAATATTAAAATGATGGAGTAAGCATGAAATAAATTAAATAAAAGACTTTCAAAAATCATGGTAAGAAAATTAACTAATTAATTATATTTCGAGTTTTATTTGTGTATAATTTTTACAAGCGTCTAGCTGCAGATGAACATTGGCTGCGATTGACTGTAGTGCTTCTAGTAAAACGTTTTGCAATTTATTGTGACATTGTGGCAATGCCAGGCTAAAATTTTTTAAAATCTCGATGTAATTGATTTTAGTAGTGTCTTGTTAAATTTTTTTTCTTCAATTTAATTCTTTTTAAACTTCTGAAAGGTGTTAGATATATGACCGGCACGATTCTATTGTTAAAGGTAAAGTATGATGTACAGAGGCAAGCCACTACTAATTTGAGGTGGAGAGCATATATTTTTAATTAAAAATACGATTAAAACTTGCAGCTCAGCATTGTGACGATGTCACAATAAATAATTGCTCGTTATACATGTAAATGTATTTAATTACATGTTTAATTGAAGTAAAGGAAGACAAAGTAATGATTATACATCTCCGTAAATAAAGTTTACTTGAAGAAAGTAGTTTTTTTTTATCATCTCATTTCTTTCAATTGTAAAGTGAATATATATAATCAAGGTATAACTTTTTATAAGTTTAAATGTGAATTATTATAGCATAAATTGTGATTTGAATATGACAAAACATAGCTTCTTTCCTAATTGTTTTTTGTTAACACGTGTTTGTTCTTACTTCACTCGATATATTTCCCTACAGGCACTAAGATCGGTCGCAGCCAATGTTCGTACTGCAGCTAGACGATTGTCTAAGATTTCTATATCTTAAAAGACGGACGAACAAGGCGACTATAGGGTCAATAATCATGAAAATTCAAAGATCTTAACGCTTAAAAAGTTTCTTACTATATGGTCATTCTGCCAATGAGATGGTTAAAACTTCAGGAAAGATAGGGCTAAGTATGAGTGCAGTACTGGTCATATCTTATACATTCTGTCATTCTAGACTATCTAACCCGGTCGGTAAGTAGGGGAGATCCTTCTACTTTGGGACACTTTTCTTTAAACCTTCATAATTTAAGTTCAAATTGATCTTTAGCTATGACTATTGACTATTTCTATTAGTAATTGATAACATCACTATATATGATGCAACTCTTGACCCTATGCTATTTTATTTATGAGAAAGTCACAGAAGTTTCATCCTCAGAGCTACTAACTTCAATTTTTTTCTTCTTAAAAACTCGCTTTTTAACAGATTTAGCATTTTTATTCACTTCATTCTTTTTCTTCACGGCCAACAGAAACATAATAACAAAAGTAAACATAATAATATTAAATAAATAGTTGAGAAAAGCAATGCCTTGTACCTTGGGACTGTCTCAAGGTACAAAAAATTCACTGTCCCAAGGTAAATTTTCTCTTGTTTATAACAAAGTATGTATATAATTTTTGAATTACAGAAATCCAATGTTATTTATTAAAATAAGTGGTTACGAATGTAATTATCAACTAACTGTACCTGAATTAAATTACTCACCTCAAAATATTTCGATTAAAACCAAGATCCAAATGGATTTCAAAAAAACAAACATCTATAAAAAATCATACGACGTGTCACAGCTGTAAAACGAGTCAAAATGGCCGACTTTACGTCATGCATTCTGAATGTTGTAATGAAATAGCTACTAGATATCGCTACTTACTACTTCTCAATATATTATTTTTCAAATGACGAGCTTGTCCCGAAGTACAAGGTGTCCCAAGGTACAAGGATCTCCCCTACACAGTAGACCATCCTATAACACTGTAGATAATTCCGTATTATATGAATTCCATGTTGTACGAGTCACTTAGATTTTACAAATACGTGTGCCGGGCACGTATTTGTAAAATCTAAGTGACTCGTACAACATGGAATTCATATAATACGGAATTAACTACAGTGTTATAGGGGGGTCTACTGTACAGTAGAAGCTCAGGAAAAATGCCTCAATTCGAATTATTAATGATGAATTATGAGGATCGTTATGGGATTCGAACTCCTAATGGAAATGATCTGTATTCAATTCTTTATTAAAGGAATAGATTTATAGTAATGTTTTTGTTTTAATTATTCGTCTTGGTACGAAAATAATTACGACAAATGAAATGACAAAGCTTCTTTTGTCTTAATTAAATAGCGACTTTAAATATATCATATATATTAGTAATTTAAAGTTTAAAATTTCAAAAAACATAGTTTTGTAAATTTGTAAAAGATAGTTTCTTAATTATTTTATTACTTACATATGAATTTGTATTTTAACAAATGTCATAAATATTGCCATTAATTATCAGAAATGTCACAAGATGGCGGTACGATCTAATGCAATCCCTTTTTTCGTCTTGTTTTTTTTTTTTTTATTGTCACGTAAAATCTAATTTTTATTCGCTGGAAAATAAAAATAAATTTAAATTACACGTTTAAATAAATAAATATATTTTTTATAAATTAAATTTTACAGAATTTTTTTATTAACTCCTCGCTTTTACGACCAATTTTGATAGCGAACCCGTTATAAATCGAATCCCTATTTTCTCATAAGTTCAGTGTTTTAAATAATGGTCGAGTGGATAAAACCATTGAACACTGATGGAACGTCTGCCAGGCGCACCTCTCCCGTGAAGTTTTCGGGATTTACAGTACTTTTGTACATTTAAATAAAGGCTTGTGTCCCATAGGAAGTTCTGGGTGACACCCCCTCGGCAGATCCCTTATGTGTTGCGTTACCGTATACAAACAAACAAACATTTTTATAAAGATAAGTTAGGGCAATAGTTTTCAACCCTTTTAGGCTTGAGTATCCCTTGGAAACCCCTAAGTTTTATTGACCATTTCCCATTTTCGTTAGGTTTTATTTCGCGTGTTCGTCGTACAATTACATGTAAAAAAAAAGATCGTTTCTTTTAAATTGTAAAGCGTTGGAGGAAGGACACGGATAAATATAATGTAAATGTAATCATATATTTATCTAAAACTAAGCATCGACTGCCGTGACATCGCCAAAAACAACGGCGCAGAGTCCGAATATTTTTATAGTACATCCGCCATTATTAATTTTTTTCGCGTGCCTTTAAACGACTAAGAGCGTACCCCCCGGTTAGTTAGGGTATAATAGGATAAAACTTATCATTTTAATAATTTTAGTAAAAATTATCCTTGTTATAAATCATTTTAAGAGGTGCAACGCATGCCATTTTGTGCACCTGAAAGCACTTTGAAATTTGATAGGTTTCGTATAAACGTCTTTGTGGCAGTTTTAATTAATGCTTTCATTTAATTATGTGAAAGGTCTTTCAGATCTGCCATAGATCTTCTTGTCTTCAGCTTTGTTCACAATTCTTTTTCTTTGGATCCAGTGTTGTGTGGCGTCCATGTCGATCTATGGCTCAGTTGTTGAAAATACTTCAACAACCGAGCCATAGATGCCATTATACCAATTTCTCTCCAATATGTTAGGTCTCGTCCCTCACTGTCTCTAAATCCAATTTCTCTAAAGCATTATACAGATACATAAAGAAAAAAACATTATCTATAAGCAATGAAATAAGGCTCCTCAGAGGATGAAATCTCTTGCCATGGCCAGGAATGCTCATGCATTAAATTATTCCCGATTCGTGAGGTCTTCTAAAAGGAAGTCCAAATCTGTTAAAAGCTTCAAATTTTCGAATTAGTAAATCAACGATTTTATAATAAATAATCACGTATTCTTCTTGAGAAACATTCATTCGACATAATCAAATATACAGAAAAAAACTGGTACCTTATCACTGTTAAAGTCTGAGAGCTGAGATAAGGCCAGGAAAACTATAAATATAGACATTTCTCTCCGAATAGAGTTCTTTTAATTGATAAAATAACATTTTTACACATTCTAGACAGTGCTAAAAGTATCTCCAGTTTATAATAACAATGATCATTATTAATTTTCTAGTCTTCTAGTAACAATTCTTCGCTTCGTTAGACACGGAAAAAGTGGGATTATTACTTAGGATACGATCTAACAGACCTCAGAATGGGTGGTTCGATCCATAAAGGAAGGAGGTATCGGATCCACTAAGCGAGAATTGTAAACAAATGGTACTACCCTAGTGCATCTGCTAGTTGTAAGGCAGGAGAATTCTGAGAATAGTTAGGGTAGGAACTGCGGTTGGTGTTTTACAAAAGTATATAGAGCACTTATAAGTTTATTTAGTTACGTTAAAGAGTTAATTCAAGTATTAAGTTATAAACGTAAGTAAAATTATTACTTGAATAGGGATTTTTCCCCCTTCTATTATATATTTCTATAATTATAATTACAATTTATAGCCGAATTTTGTGTATTAAAGTTATATTATATTTGAAAATATAACGAATTACTTAGTATTAATTAAAACTAACACTCAAATTACTAGCTGATTCATTAAATTTATATGCAAGTTAACTTTGTTTACAGTTAAGTATAAGTTTCTTATTTCCTAGTATCTGATAACGTTGATTTTTACTTTCTCCATTGAGAAAGACACTCTCAGAGAACGATGTCATTATTCAGATAATGAGTCAAATTACATTATTCTCTGTAAATTTCTGAATTTATAAATATTTATAAGATATTAATAGATTAAATCTAACTAATATTACAGATATTTTTACCTGAGAGAGCAAAATATAATACATTTCTGTGTATATATTGTCTACTTGGATATTGTTTACTAATGGGACTTA